GTTGTTTGCTTGCTATAGGTGCCCAGAGCAAAGACAGAGGAAGGGAGGCTAAATAAATTATTTCCTCATAGTACAATACAACATGATAAACATTTATTGGGCTACATAATTATATGTCAGGCACTGTGCTAAGTGCAGGGTCCCTGCGCTCAAGGAGCTTATCATCTAATGGGAAAAGACAATACACAAAAGAAAGCTGAAAAGTGAAGAAGGGAGCCAGAAAGATGATAATGACATGGATTCCAACCAAGCAAAGCATAAAAGGCAACTTCACAATTGATGGAAAATGATAACAGCAAACACAAGCACCCTTCGCTCTGCCTCAGAAGGCAGCTCATGGCCAATGTTTGAGAAACTCAAACACCTCTATGGAGGAGAGGAAAGAATCCTGAATTCCACAGGCAGCACAATTTTAGATTCTAGACTTTTAGACAGAGAGTTTCTGAGCAGTACTAACCCAAATTTAAGAGTTCCCAAGTTCAATAGTTTGGGAATGGGCCCTCCTAGAAAGAAAAGAATTTCCTTATTCAATAAACAAGCATTTACCAAGTATATAATACTATGTGCAAGGTACTATCTAGGTGCTGGGATACAAAGCAATCGACAAGAACATATTAATAGGGTAGCTAGGTGGGGCAGTGGATAGAGCACTGTCCCTGGAGTCAGGAGAACCTGAATTCAAATCAGGTCTCAGAACAGACACTTGATACTTACTAGCTGTGTGACCCTAGTCAAGTAACTCAACCCTAATTGCCTCACCAAATAAAATAAAACAAAATAAAATAAAATGAAATAAAAATAAATACTTTTGGGGCAGCTAGGTAGTGCAGTGGATAGAGCACCAGCCCTGGAGTCAGGAGGACCTGAGTTCAAATCTGACCTCAGACACTTGACACTTACTAGCTGTGTGACCCTGGGCAAGTTACTTAACCCCACTGCCTAGCCAAAAAAAAAAAAAAAAGAATGTATTAATCACTTACTAATTGCCAGGCACTGCTAAGTGCTGGGGGTCCAAAGAAAGGCAAAAACAATGTCCTGTCCTCAAAGACCACAGGTCCTAAAGGGAGATAAGTAAATAACTATGTACATACAAGACACATAAGTAGAGGTTGGATGGAAAGTAATCTAGAGGGCTAGGCCCTAGAGGCAGCAGACCTGGAAAGGAATCCAGGGATTAGCTAGAAAGCACAGTTGAGTAGAGAGAGTATTTCAGACATGGTGGAAAGCAAGATCAACGGCAGGGAGCCAGGAGATAACCATCCTATTGCAGGGACAAGACAGCCAGAATGTGAAAGGCTTTAAATGTCAGAGGACTTTATATTGGATTTTGGAAGTTAATAGAGTTACAATGATGAACGGTTCCTTCTCTCAAGGCACTTGTAATCTACTGAGGGAGAGTGTAAGGCAACACGTACAAAAATCATACAGAGTAATTTCAGGCCAGAGTATGAACTAGGGGATCAGGGAAGGCTTGACTGTAGAGGGGAGCTACGGATTCTAAACGCAGGTTCAGGGTATAAGTACCAGCCTTTATGAAGGCACGGAAATATGACATGGGATGTCATGGATGGAGAATATCAAGTAATAGACAAAGCTGAGTACTCAAAGGAAAGACTGGATAGGAAGGGGGTACGAGACTACATACAGTTTTCAAATCGAGACCACGGAGTGTATATTTCATGGACAGCATCCCCCCAGTCTGTCTGTCTCTTTCTTTTTTTTCTATTTCTGACACTGAGAGACATTCACCTTCTCCAGGTGAAGGCTAACCTATCTGCCTATGGCCACTTTCCTCAGGAGATAACAACCTTAATAATCTTCCCTGCTTTCTCTAATCTTCAGCCTCTCCCTTCTTTCTATATTGCCTTCAAACATGCCCAAGTCTCCTTTATCCCTTTAAAAAATTTTACTAGGGGTTGCCCATCAACTGGGGAATGGATAAACAAATTACAGTATACAAATTTAATAGAATTCGATTGTGCCTTAAGAAATGACTGAAGGAACACTTCTAGAGAAACCTAAGAAGTCTTGTATGAAGTGAGCAGAACAAGAACAATTTATAGATTAATAACAACACTGTAAAGACAAACAACTCTGAAAGACTTGCTAATTTTGATCACAGCACAGTGGAGAGAGCACTGGAGTCATGAAGACCTGAGCTCAAATTTGACCTCAGACACTTATTAGCTATGTGGCCCTAAGTAAGTCACTTCCCCCTATCTGCCTCAGTTTCCTCATCTGTAAAATGAGCTGGAGAAAGAAATGACAAATCATTCTAGTATCTCGGCCAAAAAAACCCCAAATGGTGTCACGGAGAGTCAAACACAACTGAACAACAACAAAAATGTTGACCAATGCAATGACCAGCAATTCCAAAGGACCAATGATGAAGCTACCCACCTCCTGAAAAGGAATATTGTACTCAAGATAACAGAATAAGACATATTTTTGGCTATGGCCAATCTGGGAATGTGCAGTGCTTGCCTATACATACTTGTTACAAGGGTTTGTTTTTTTTCCCCAATATGGGAGGAGGGAGGTTGGAGGAAGAAAAAATTCATACTAACTGAAAAAAATTAAAACTACAACTAGATCCTACCATTCTCTCAATGAACCTATAGCTCTTTTTTCTCAGTCAAATCCCTAGAAAAAGCTAACCACACTCAGCTGCCTCTTTTCCTCTTCTCAATTCTTTGAGATGTGTTTTCTGACCTTATCACTCAACTGACACTCCTTTCTCCAAAGTTACCAAAGATCTCTTAATTAATAGATGTAATGGTCTTTTTTCAGTCCTTATCTTTCCTCCACCTCTTTACTGTATTTGACACTGTTGACCACCCTTTCTCCTCCTGGAGTCTCTTTCCTCTCTGGCCTTTCATGACACCACTCTCTCTCTCTTGGTTTTCTGCTTATCTAAGCTGTCTAACAAGTCTCCTACTTGCCAATTTCCTTTGCTGGTTCGTGATTCACATTATGCCTCCTGACTGTTGGTCTTTCTTAAGGTTCTATCCTAGTTACCCAAATCTTCTCTCCCTAACCTTGCTCTCTTGATGACCTCATCAGCTCCAAAAGCTTTAATTATTTATACCCATTATGCAGGTAACTCATAGATCTATATCTTGTCTTAGTTTCTTCCCTGAGCTTCAATCCCACATCACCAATTTGCCTACTGGACATTTCAAACATGTCTATGAAACATTCCAAACTCAGTATATCCAAAAGAGAATTCATTCATTATCTTTTCCCCCAGCTCCTCACTCTCCTTACATATCTAGTCAATTGCCAACTCTTGTCTTTTCTATATCCACAACCCCTCTCTCATTAGGACCCCTTCTCTGTTCACATAGCCACCACCTTTGTTCAGTCCCTCATCACATTTCCCCTGGATTACTGCACAAGGGCCTCCTCCCTGCCTCAAGCTTTTTCCATTTCAGTCCAATCTCCACACTTGCCAAAGTGATTGTCCTTAAGTATAGCTCTGACCACATCATTGCTCCTTAGAGACCTCCAGGAGTTCCCTCCAGTCTCTATGATAAAACAGAACCGCTCATTTAGTTTCACAACCTCAGTCTCATTCCACATCACTGGGAACACTGTCTTCCACTGGCTTTGTGCCTTTGCACTAACCACCTTCCATGGCTGCAACTCAGGCCCTCCTCTGTTCCTCCCCACAGAAGTCCACTCTTCCTTCTAGTTACAGCTCAAGCATCTCCTTCTACAAGAAGCCTTTTCTGCTAGCAAACGCTATTAGCGTCTCCCAAAATGCCTTATATTTAATGATTTTATAGTTATTCTCTATTCACACACATCATATTCATCCCCCCCATCTCCCCATTAAAATCCAAACCCCTTACATTGTGTTTATAGCACATGGCTTTGGCCCATAAATATTTAATAAGTATTTTTTGATTCATTTGTTCGTTCTAGGGACAAGAGGATCTCCACACTGGAAAAGGGGTGGCATGGTTCTGGGGCATCACCCTCAGTCTGCATGCTGGATTACAAGTGGCCCGGTCTGTAGCTATGGACTCTATACCAGAATAGTAATGGTATGAATTGGGGAAGATCACCTTGGGTCACATTATCTTGGTGTGGGGGGGGGTGGGTCTCCATGGTGGGGTAGGGTCTCTGTGGGGAAAGTTATGGGGGGGCTTCCTGAGGGAGCCTTCCTGGGTCTCCATGGGGGGAGGAGAAGGTCTCCTAGGATCCCCACGCCCAGGTAGGGTCTCTGTGAAGAGGGGCCCTTCCTGAGGGGAGCCTCCATGGGGGTGGGGGGGAAGTCTCCCCGGTTCTCCACGGGTAGGGTTGATGGGGGGAGGTCTCCCTTGGGGGAGGAGAAGTCTCCCTGGATCTCTAGGCCGGGGTAGGGTCTCCGTGGGGAGATGGGGGGTGTTCCTGAGGGGATCTCCATGGGGGGGAAGGAAAGGTCTCCAAGGTTCTCCACGCCAGAGTAGAGTCTTCGTGGGGAGATGGGGGGGGGTTCCTGAGGGGGCCTCCCTGGGGGGAAGGCCTCAGGTGCCCAGGAGCGCCGGCGGCCTCACTCACCTTGGCCCGCTTGCGTCGGCTGGTCCGGCGGCCCTCGGGGGTCTCGGCGATGCCCGTCTCCATGGGCGCCCCGGCAGGTCCCGGCGCTCCGGCGGGGCCAGGCTGCGGCGCTCCGGCGGGGCCCGTCGGCTCCGCCAGGCCCCCGGGAGGCGAGGCCCGCAGCGGCTCCTTCTTGCGGGGCGTGCGCTCCGTGCCGGGCCCTGACCCACTCCCAGCTCCGGCCCCGGGCCCGGGCCCCGCCTCAGCCGAGCCCGCCAGGCCGGCGGCCGGGGGCGCCGCGGTCACCGCCGCCGCCGCCACGGCCGCCGCCGCCTCGGCGCCGTTCT